CACAACTGTTGAGTGAGCGCTCAGTATGATTGGTTAATACTTTTAGATCCAGCCAATCATATTAAGAAATCATTGAGCGCTCACTCAACAGTTGTGTCTGCTGAACGCGACCATTGGCTGCGTTCAGCAGAAAAAGCTGCTTTGCAACTGTTGTAAAATTCGTGAATCTGATTGGCGTGGTCTCTTATTACTCTTGAGTGAATTTAACTGCATACGCCCATCAGATTCATGCATTTTACAACAGTTGCAAAGCAGCTTTTTCTGCTGAACGTAGCCATTCTGTTGACAGCGTATGCTTAAAGGCTGGTCTACAATACATGGAGTAAGCTGGAGTAAGCTGGAGTAAGGAGTAGGAGTAAGGAAATAAATCCATTTTATTTCCTTACTCCTACTCCTTACTCCAGCTTACTCCATGTATTGTAGACCAGCCTTTACAGACTCTGTTGCCAAAAGAAAAGCCAAATGCGGACACAGATGGCTACGGTTTTGGTGCGGGTGTCTGATAAATCTGCTAACATTTTGGGCTGACTGTGGTGAGATTGGCTAAACATTGGTCCAACGTTGGTTATATTAGAAATACATTGGCCGATATTGTCCGTGAAATAAATGTAAATATTGCACGACAATAATTATATAATATTAGATTTGTATTGGAAGTGCGCCGGCCAGTATTTGACAACGTAACAACAATATTGGCTAAATAAGAATAAGGCGTCCATCTCACAACCATTCGGCCGACATCGGGAACACCAGATTTACATTACTTCTCAATATTACGCCAATATATTGCACCACCAGGGCTTCCTGATCAAACTCCAAGCGTGGGGCCCAGACTGAACATTCGCTCTTGCTACATTAATCGCGGGTCAAACGAATTAATTAGCCCAGTCAAGTTAACCTCGTCGTCGGTCCGACGTCGGGCTCGAGAATTTCGAAACTCGCGGACGCGCGCGCGAACCGAGAACTGCGCGCACGCGCCCAGGCGCGGCAATAAGGCCCGTTCCTTGGGCGCGAGGGCGGCCACAGGAGAACGCGCCTTCCCGCCGGGAAATACGAAACAGCCCGGGGAGAGGCGAGAGGTGCGAAGAGGTCGCGAGAGGGGCCGGCTATAGAAACGCGCCGGCGACGTGACGTATGCGCGTAATGGCACGGGGCGGAACAGCTGATCAGTTGTTCCGTTCCGTCGTCGAAGCGGCTGCCCCGAGCGCCCGACGTCCGTCGCGACGATCCTCGACCGACCGGTGGCCCCAGGTGGCCCGACGGGGGGCGCCAAGAGAGAGACGGCGAACGAGGCCGGAGCCCCGGGCCCGGGGCCTTCTCCGTGGCCGCCCGCGCCCCGCTGTGTACGCGCGAATTAACCCCCTCTCCCTCCCCCCCTCCGTGTCGCTCGCCCACCCGCCGCGGCACGTCCTTGAAACGGAGCTCAGTCGCCTGTAGTCCGGGACTATGGCCAGTCCGGTGGTCGGCACCGGGTACAATTTCAAGGTGGTGCTGCTGGGCGAGGGATGCGTCGGCAAGACCTCGGTCGCCCTGCGATACGTCGAGGACAAGTTCAACGACAAGCACATCACCACGCTACAGGTGACTCTCCCCCCTCCCTCCGACCCCTCGGCCCGTCGTGCGTTCTGGCGAGCCGACGTTGCTCTCCGCGGATCCTTTTCCCTTCGCTTCTGCCCCGGGCGTAGCGCGGACGGTCGTCCTCGCTCCCGCGCAGATGCTCGCCTCCGCGGGGAGAGGCTTTTTCTCGATCCGACCTCGAGCGTGTACTTTCAGGGGGGGAGAAGAGGTTGGTCCCGCGCCGACGATTCCGTCGGGTCCGAGCGCGGCAATTGCGTAGAAAGAAAGCCGTGAACTCGAAGCGCAATTCGCGGTGTACGCAGCCACGGCCGGGGAAGCTTCCCTAACCTCCTCTCCGAGGTTCGGACGCGACCGGGATTCGCCGCGCTCGGTAAACGGCGCCCTCACGAGTTGCTCGGTGTTTCAGGCGTCGTTCCTGAACAAGAAGCTGAATATCAATGGAAAGAGGGTGAACTTGGCGATATGGGACACCGCCGGGCAGGAGAAGTTTCACGCCTTAGGACCAATTTACTACAGAATGTCCAATGGTGCCATTCTCGTTTATGACATCACGGACGAGGATACCTTCCAAAAGGTATGACTACGCCTGCCACCCAGTCAGCGAAATGTCAGCAGATTTGCCAGAAGCCCGCATTTGGCTCTTGTTTTGGCGACAGAGTTTGCAAAGCATATGCTGTCGACAGAAATCGAACAGCTCCAGTTACGCGAGCAGATTTTGCTGCATCTCTGCTGACACACACGCTGGCAACATGTCGAATATATCAGTTCCTGCAATCTTGCAGTCTTTCTGCCCTCAAAATTTGTAGTGGCCACTCGACGAAATCTGTGCCGGCAGATTTGGCTATCCGGGCGCGTACGACACGTATTCCCGAGCGTCCCTGCTCTCGCTGTGTTAAAGAATCTTTTGTGGATTTTGTTGTCAGGTGAAGAACTGGGTGAAGGAGCTTAAGAAGATGTTAGGTAGTGAAATTTGCCTGGCGATAGCGGGCAATAAAGTGGACCTGGAGAAGGACAGAAACGTTGCCATAGAGGAAGCGGAAGAGTAAGTTCGTTGAATCTTCGCTCGCGTCGAGTTGACAGCGAACACGTAGCGCTTGAACGAACCTTCTTCCGCCAGGTACGCCAAGCAAGTGGGCGCTATGCATTTCCACACCTCGGCCAAGTTGAACCAGAATATCGAGGAGATGTTTCTGGACCTGACGCAGCGCATGATGCAACGCGCGGACGAGGCCGAGCAAAAGTCCACGCTCACGAGGACCAACAGCACGCGTCGCAACGTCGTGATGGTCGAGGACGAGGTAGAACAGACTCAGCCGAGTAGAAGTTCCTGCTGCGGCGGCGGTGGCGGCGGCGGCGGCGGCGGCGGCGGCGGCAGCGGCGATAACGGCGGCTTTTCGTAGACCGTTAAGATCAATTTACATTCGGTTCCAGATGCAAGGTCTAATTTCGATAATCCACGAACTATGTACGGGATGGTGTGTCCCAAATGTGACAAATTTGCAAATACTAATTTGTTACGTTACAAATGCTTTATCTTGTATGTGTTTGTAGACGAGTGCGTTACGTATGAATGTGCACGTGTATGCCTATATATATATATGTATGTATATTTTTAGCTGCGACAATTCTTGGATTAGCAAAGATACGTTAATTTCTATACTTGTATATTGATGACGTAAGCCATTGTGACTTCGTGCCGGACAGACAAAAGTTTTCGAGGCAGATTTCGCACACGCCACTTCATTGAGGGGAAGTAAATTGTTAATATTTTCGATAATGACTTTTTAGATGTGCAGACACACACACACACACACACACACATCGTATAGCTACGGCCTTTCATTCGCGAATATTGTCAGACGGGGCCTTTTTCCTGGCGGGTTCGCGCTCGAGTATCTTGGTCAACTTTAGACCAAAAAGAGATGGTCCAGTGAGTCCTATTAGTTTTCGAAGTTTAGCTTAGATTAACTACGAAGCGATACGTAATGTCATCATTTCTTTCAATGGATCTTTATACTTGTGCATTTGGATCGTGAACATTCCAGGTAGTTTCTTTTCTCAACTATGGCGCGAATGGAATGCTGTTCAGTTGCTTAATTGCTATCGGAACGGAGACAAAATAATTTGGTGATCTACATTGTTGTCTCGAGTGCCTCACTTTCAGTGTAGTCGCAAAAATTTTATAAGAGCAAGAGAGCAACAGTCTCGTCCTAAATAATCGGTTTCACTCTCCTGTTGTTACGTTCAAATTTTCGATACGCCTACATCCGCGCAATCCAAAAATTGCTGCAAGCTGATTAAGGGTTTAGCGAATTGTTGGACGGTCTTGTCGCGAAACGAGGGCATTTTTCAAGGAAGAGCAGAGAACAGCCTGCGGCTTTTACCCAAAACAATTCAGATTAATGTACATATTAAGTGCCGATGAATTTATTGTACAATATATTGATTTAGATCGTATTTAAGTAACACGCAATATGTTTATTCATCTGAAATTGATATAAATTAGTGATACAAGAGTGTTGTTTAAATTATTGTTACTGTAAGTTATTTTATGAACATAAAATGGTAACTTGTAATAACGTTACAGAGAAACGCTTCATTTGACAATTCTACCTCGATCCCATCGTGTCACGAAAGTTAGGTTGCACTTACAAATTACGCACACACAAAAGTGAAATTGCAGACCTATAAATTAACACGCTTTATTACACGTTCTATTGACAACGAGGAATGTAATCGAGTCGCATCAGTTCTATACAGGTCTGGGTTAGTCTTTTTTTTTCCTTTTGATGATAGAGAGCGGGTTTAAGGCTGCCAAGCCTATACTTTATCCCAGTTACCTATAATGGCAGGACAATTTAAGGGGATATACAAATCTGCGGGTTGCGCTCCACGAAAAAATTGCTAAGTCTCTTATTCTTATGCTTAGACGACGGACAAACTCACAAAGTCATTGGACTATACAGCACTTGACACTCAACACATGTCAAGAACTTCTTTTTCACTCTCTTTCTCATTTCTTTTGGTTCTTGTTGATATCAAGCGGAACTAACAATCTGACGAATTCGTTTTTTTTTTGAGATCATAAACAAAAGCAAATATCGTGAAGTCACTAGATTTTATATGTGGAGTGCATGGAATATATTAATACCGCACTAATTACTTACTGTGCTAATGCATAATTTTTTAAATATATTAATCTTATGAGAACACAATTGTACAGAACGGAGAGAAAGAGAGAGAGAGAGAGAGATAGAGAATGTCACGAAAGCTATAAGACGAATCCATTTGAAGTAGAAAATACAATTTAACTTTTGTTTCAACCAGTGTTTTGTTACTGAAATATAAAATGAATGCTTATTTATATTATTTAAAGTTAACATAGTATTTCTCTACATTATATATATATAAATCTTCCTTGTTACATGTCTCTTGTCTCTTTTCACGTTTACTTAAATACAGTATCACATATACTACAATTCGTTAGACCACAATCATTATTGAATTATCAATTTTTCCAGTATATACAAACCCTGCAAGAGATGCAAAGGATGCCGAATATTAAAAAGATTTGTCACTTACGGTTTTCCTATTTTGGATTTAGAGTATATACCAAAACTTTCTATGAAAAACTTCGGTTTACTTCAGTTAACACGTTGAACGTTGCACAACGCAATCGAACAATTTTGACAATTTAAACTTTACAAATGAAAATAAATAACAAAAGATGATTGCTGGATATCCGTGTGGGGCCAACAAAACAAAAATTATAATCTAATAACAATCGTCGATTTAAATATTTTAACTGACAAAGGGAAATAACAAAATAAAAATAACTAAAATCTTAAAAATTATACATGAAATAATTCATGTAACTTGCTAAAAGAAATTAATTCGTTGTTTAAAAGTTTATTAAATAGTAGAACGCTTGTTGAATGATTAGAGATTAACTTAGTTCAGAAACCGGCGCAAATTGCGGCCTGTAATTTCGCGACAACGGAGGCATCCCGCTCGATATCTTCTTTCTCACCATCGAATATATTATTTTCTAAGCGTTATTAAATAGATAAACATTATCTCTACACAATCTTACATATACTCACTGTGTGACGTTCTCATGTATCTTTGGTATTTGGTCGTAATTTCTCTCTAAATATACGGACATGTCTCTTGCAGCTAGCGTTTCCAACGTCGCACAGCCGGCATTGATTCGAACGCTTTAGTCTTTCGTCCGGAAATTATTACACCTATTCATATTAAAAAATCTTGTGCAAAATCGCATGTAAATAAACAATTGAGTGTTTCCTTCTATCCTTCTCTATCACGTAGAATATAAAAATATTTCGGTAAATGAAAATGCGGACGTGTGACAATTGAATGTTACAATTAGGCCTTCGGTGCTGTCGCTTTTAAATAATAAATATCTTATCTTGATAAGTGAATAAAAAGTCTATGAATTGATTGATAGGTCCTATTGCGGAAAGGGACATTCCACGTGCTGGCGGTGCTCTAACTAGATTCGGTCCAAATACAACCGCGAGATTACTAGAAGTCATCTTGTTCAGGTCGCATCGATCCATTACCTATCAATAGCAAAGAGTATGAGTGAACGTAAAAATCGATCTACGTTCTAGCTGCAGAATGTTGCGACTGGGAATATTGATTACGTACCCTCGATAAAAATTGTACGACGTATCTAAGAACTTGGTAGTTGTCTTCGGGTAGTTTCTCCAATATTAATATCTTAACTTTACGCGGACGTTCATCTTTTGATAATGCTACAGTAAAAATTTAAGGAAGTGCTTTATGTCTCGCTGTAATACGTGAAAGAAAAAGCAAAAGAAGGGGACGAAATGCTCACTTTGGAATTGCGTGATTTCATCGTACAGTTCGTAGGTCATAAGAGGTTCGTCTAGTTCACGGAGAAAGGTTTTAAGTAAAACCGCGGCGATATGCGGATCTCCTTGGAAATCGATGGGCAAACCTTGGTTGCAACGATTCTGAAGTTCTTTGATTACTGCCACGTTAGCCGATCTTCGGAATATCCCTTCCGTTTCTAGAGCTGAAACGGCGACGGGAAAATTGTCAGTTGGAATGCCGAGCGAGACGAAGATGGTTTTGCTCTTTGCGTTGGAATACCATACCGTCGGGCGTATCGAGAAATTCTACGCACTGCCTTAGAATCGGTGGTATTGGATCACCGTTATTATTTTCCTTTATGAACTGCAGACTAGCACCGAACTGAGTCGTGCCAACTGGCGTGACTACCGCGCTTTGCGGTGGACTCGCCGGCAGATTTTTCTTATTTTTCATCAGCAGTTGCTCATTGTGTCTGAAAGAGGTGGTGCGTGTCAATTAAATCCGCGTGCAATTTGATTTGACGCGAGACCCTAAGGTACTATTTAATATAATACAGCACAGCTAAATTGCATACTCTATCACTTGAGGTGGAATAATCAGTTGATCCAGGTTTATGTATTGCGCCAATTCTTCCAAGTAATTAACATACATCATTTTCCGTCCGAACTTTACACTGTAAAGATTCACGTAATGTGTAACAGCTCGAGAAAACAATTCCCTCCGTTTGAAAAAGGAAAGCCCGCATACCTGATGGCCGGTTTAAATATTTGCCACACAATCCTAATGAAATTAGTCGGGTGCACTAGATAAAGGGCTTTGAGATTCTTCTTGTATTTTCTATCGAAGGCTTTATACGCTTGCCACAACCACGACAAGGGTGGCTTATTTTTCGACGTAAGGCCATAATGAAAGTAGACGAGACTATAATCTTGCTCCACGAACATGTCCAAAGTATGCGTAAGATACCTGCGGTTGAGAATAGCGTTTGTGAAAGAGCCTAATATTTTACGTACAAAGACAGAAGGGAACCAACAGAGTAGCAAAGGAGAACGGATAGTCTCCTAACAAATAACTTTGTTGGCAATGATACAGGATGACGCGCAATTCTTGAGTAATTTACGGACAACTGTAAGCCATTGTTCGTGGTCGAATAAATATCACGCGTGTCATCTCTGTAACGTGGACACCGCAGACTCACCTGAGAAGCTTGGCGTGATTAAAAGTCTCTTTTCCAATGGGAGGCAATTTGCACGCTGACACGACAATTATCTTACGACCGGCACTATCGTCACCGACCACCTCTACGATACCGTGCCTGGATATATCAAGATAGTCCTCCTCGTCAGCGAGCTCACCGTCTAAAGCAGCCAGATCGTCCGCTATTCGTTAAAACAGACATTTGTTCTGATGTAAGATTGCGCTTATCGTAAGCGTGCTCTCGCAACGGATTTGATATCAAAACAGAAATTGTACTCGGGCAAGTACAATTTAACAATCGAATCCTCGGAGCAGGCCTGATTTATTAAAAAAAAAAACAAAAACAAAAGAAAACGATAGAAATGTACGTTCAACGGGGAAGAGAGAAAGAGATTTACTCACTTCAGGCTAGGATTGTACACAATGTTATTGCAAGGCGGATTAAAACAAAAGCAAAACAGTCGTCGCATTCCCTTTCCTTTGTTTTTTTTCCTTTCATCCTTACGCCATGCAACGTAAAACAAGCTATACAATGTTCTACACATAATTCACCTGCTATGCCCCGCGAATGCCATGACATTTACTGGCTACTAACAGAAGGTAAAAGGTCACACACCAGATTCGATAACTGGAGCGTCTACCAAAGCTTCCTCAAAGTTCTCCTCGATCGTGCCGTCGCTCACCGGGCTTTCCAAATAATCCATCCCAGTGCCCATGCTGCTGCTCACCAGATCCAATTTCTCTTCCAGAAGCCGCGTCGCTGCAACGACAGAGTTCGGCTCTTAAACAACCATCGCGGCCGAACGAATCGTTCGCGCGAACCACAGAGGGAGGCGGTCTCCCTTCCTTCGGAAATTAGTGTGAAAAATTCTACGAACACTCGATATCGCAAAAAGGAGACAGGCAAAATGTACAGGGCAGGCGCATGATTTACCATTGTTCGAAGTGGTTTGCAATTCTGTATCGTCAAATTCCAGATTCGGTTCGTAATCGTGATAATCCGACAGGCTAGGGTATGGATCCTCGCAGTCGTTGCCCATCCCTGCTAAACGTCAACACAAATCAGCCGACGCTAAACAAAGCGACGATACCCGTGCATATTTGCGCGCGACAAAAACACCTTGTCTCAACCGCGACAGGTAAATCCCGATCGGCGTCGGCGGCTGCTCTCGGGCCGCCTCGGGCGATCGGGATTTCGAGGTCTCCGTTCCAGAAACTCCGATCCGAGAGCTTCCGCTCGCGCGAAAGTAACGACAGTCGCGGGGGCGCGCGATGCCACGGTTACGAGATGCTTTCTATTTACTCGACGCGTCACCGCCCACCGATGCCGCCCCCGAGGGCGATCCCGACGACGACGGCGGCGGGGTCGGGATCGCCGGGTAGGGCGCGGACTGGCCGCCCCGCGCCGGAGCCGCGTCTCACCTGTCAACGTCCGCGACGGACTCAGCGTCGGCTGGTAGTCCGCCTCCATCCTTCCCTTGCGGCGTGGAGGCGCGCGGGGACGACGATGCGGCCGGGTTACCAGCGTGCCGACGACCTCGGCGATATCGCGGCGCTCTTACAGACTCGCGCTGCCCACGACGGCTGTCTCCTCGCGCGGCGACATATCCATCCGCTTCCTCCGCGACGTGTGCGACTAGTACGACGCGCGGCTACGGATCACGTCACGCTTTCATCTGTCGCCGTGGTTGGCCGCGGTGGTCACTGCGTTGCGCCCCCCCCCCCCGCTCGCCACGCGCCGCGATATGTATCGATACTCCGTTTTCAAGTGGGTAAACACGATGTATCGATAGCGCGGCGCTCGCTCGGTTACTTCACCAACGTCACGTAACTTCAAGCTTGAGTGTGGATCCAGAGAGAAACCTGAGAGGGGCCATGCCGGTGTTTTACTTGTTACCGTTTCGCTAAGAGCAGTTTCCAGCGCCTTTACGTTTTACGTCCTTACGGAATTATTGCGTGTGAAGGCCTCAACTGTCGCGCATGCGCGAAAAACGCGACCAGTCTGACTGACATTGGCTGCCTCGGAGTCGCTTGCCCTTTAATAAGGAGGTTAAGCCCCCCCTTAGGTTAGACCCTCTCACTTGCGATCTGCCGGCATTTACTTTGTAATGAGGATTGAATTTGTCAATAATTCTCGCGTGTGAATACGTGGCGTACAGCGCGTTGCTGCTATTGACACGCGACTGTCGTTGATACAATTGAATTTCTTTTATCAGATTCTACGGCCTTTCCGTACGGCTATCTGTGCCTGAGGGTGGAGCGCCGCCGCGTGCTTGCGTCTCGGCGCGATACAATTGATTTGTAGAACATTTATGCGCAAATATGTTGCCCTTACATATTTCATCGAAGTAAGTACACCTCCGTCGGGTTATTGAAATTAATAAAAACATTACTATCTAAACCACTGATGTGTGCGCTGTGATCAGCTCGATACTCTCAGATGTACGGACACATGGATCCTGCTCGTTGCTCGAATTCAAATGACCGATTTAATTAATTGACGAACATTACGTATAAAGGCTATTCTACAATTGCGTAAACGCGGTTGTTAGCGGTTGTACAGTGTTGTAAAACACAGTTTTAAACTAGCATTTCCGATTGTAAAGCCTGTTGTAAAAGATAGCTGAACTTGATCTTTCACGACTACAACGATGTAGGACGTAAAAGCTAGCCAATCATTCATTTCAATTACGACGTATCTCACTCTATTGTATATTACTTTGATGTACAACACTTACTACTACTTCTACTCCTACAACCCTAC